CCTTCATTTCATTGTTTATCCAGTCGACATTCAAGAGCCAGTTGTTCAGTTTCCATGAAGCTGTGTGGTTCTGAGTTAGTTTCTGAATTCTGAGTTCTAACTTGATTGCACTATTGTCTGAGATACTGTTTGTTATGATTTCAGTTGTTTTGCATTTGCTGAGGAGTGATTTACTTCCAATTATGTGGTCAATTTTAGAGTAGGTGTGATGTGGTGCTGAGAAGAATGTATATTCTGTGGATTTGGTGTGGAGAGTTCTGTAGATGTCTATCAGCTTTGCTTGTTCCAGGTCTGAGTTCAAGCCCTGGATATTCTTGTTAATTTTCTGTCTGGTTGATCTGTCTAATATTGACAGTGGAGTGTTAAAGTCTCCCACTATTATTGTGTGGGAGTCTATGTCTCTTTGTAAATCATTAAGAAATTGCCTTATGTATCTGGGTGCTCCTGTATTGGGTCCATATATATTTAGGATCGTTAGCTCTTCTCGTTGTGTAGATCCTTTTACCATTATGTAATGTCCTTCTTTGTCTCTTTTGATCTTTGTTGCTTTAAAGTCTATTTTATCAGAGACGAGAATTGCAACTTCTGCTTTTTTTTTTTTGTTTGCTCTCCATTTGCTTGGTAACTCTTCCTCCATCCCTTTATTTTGAACCTTTGTGTATCCTTGCATGTGAGATGGGTTTCCTGGATAGAGCACACTGATGGGTTTTGGCTTTTTATCCAATTTCCCAGTCTGTGTCTTTTGATTGGTGCATTTCGCCCATTTACATTGAGGGTTTATATTGTTATGTGTGAATTTGATACTGTCATTTTGATGCTAGCTGGCTGTTTTGCCCATTAGTTGATGCTGATTCTTCATTTTGTTGATCCTCTTTAGCATTTGGTATGTTTTTGTAATGGCTGGTACTGGTTGTTCCTTTCTATGTGTAGTGCCTCTTTCAGGAGCTCTTGTAAAGCAGGCCTGGTGGTGACAAAATCTCTGAGTACTTACTTGTTCATGAAGGATTTTATTTTTCCTTCACTTATGAAGCTTAGTTTGGCTGGATATGAAATTCTGGTTAGAAAGTTCTTTTCTTTAAGGATGTTGAATACTGGCCCCCACTCTCTTCTGGCTTGTACAGTTTCTGCCGAGAGATCTGCTGTGAGTCTGATGGGCTTCCCTTTGTGGGTGACCCCACCTTTCTCTTGGGCTGCCCTTAGCATTTTCTCCTTCATTTCAACCCTGGTGAATCTGATGATTATGTGCCTTGGGGTTGCTCTTCTTGCGGAATATCTTTGTGGTGTTCTCTGTATTTCCTGGACTTGAATATTGGCCTGCCTTGCTAGGTTGGGGAAATTTTCCTGGATAATATCCTGAAGAGTATTTTCCAGCTTGGATTCATTCTCTTCATCGCATTCAGGTACACCTATCAACTGTAAATTAGGTCTACTCACATAGTCCCACATTTCTTGAAGACTTTGTTCATTCCTTTTTGTGCTTTTTTTTCTAATCTTGGCTTCTCATTTTATTTCATTGAGTTGATCTTCGACTTCTGATATCCTTTCTTCTGCTTGGTCAATTTGGCTGTTGAAACTTGTGCATGCTTCACGAAGTTCTTGTGTTGTGTTTTTCAGCTCCATCAATTCACTCATATTCCTCTCTAAGTTGTCCATTCTTGATATCATTTTCTCAAATTTTTTTTCAACATTCTTAGTTTCTTTGCATTGAGTTAGAACATGTTCTTTTCGCTCACGGAATTTTCTCATTACCCACCATCTGTAGTCTGATTCTGTCATTTCATCACACTCATTCTCTGTCCATCTTTGTTCCCTTGCTGGTGAGTAGTTGTGGTCCCTTGTAGGAGGCAAGGTGTTCTGGTTTCAGGTGTTTTCCTCTTTTTTGCGCTGACTTCATCCCATCTTTGTGGATTTATCCACCTGTCATCTGAGTAGTTGCTGATTTTCCAATTGGGTCTCTGAGTGGACATCCAGATTGTTGATGATGAAGTATTTCTGTTCCTTAGTTTTCCTTCTAACAGTCTGGCCCCTCTGCTGTAGGACTGCTGAGGTCCACTCCAGGCCCTGCTTTCCTGGGGTACACCTGTAGCAGCTGTGGAACTGTGATGGTTGCTACCAGTTTCTTCTTCTGCTATCTTTGTCCCTGAATGATGCCCGCCAAATGTCAGTCTGATCAGTCCTTTGTGAGGTGACTCTTTGGATATATGGGGTCAGGGAGCTGCTTGAGGTGACTGTCTGTACTTTATACTTGAGGAGACAGTCTGTACTTTATAGGAGCACAAGTGCTGAGCTGTGAGCTCCATTGTTCATTCAGGGCTGCTAGGCAGGTATGTTTAAGTCTGCTGCAGCAGAACTCATAAAGCCCCTTTTTTTCCTCAGGTGCTCTGTCCCGGGGAGTTAGGGCTTTATTTATGAGTATCCATTGCACTGTCCTGCCCAGCAAGGAGGCAGTCTAATCACTGCCTGCCTGTAGTGGCTATGCTGAGCTGCTGTGGACTTCACCCTGTTGCCGTGGGCTCTGCCCTGTTGCTGTGGGCTCCACTTTGCTGTCGTGGGCTCCTCCCTGCAGCCATGGGCTCTGCCCTGCTGCTGTGGGCTCTGCCCTATTGTCATGGGCTCTGCCCTGCTGCTGTGTGTAGTTCCCTGTAATCCTGTTTACATGGGTGTGGTTAGAGCTGCCATGGTGATAGTGGCCTGCCTCTGTAGTGGTGGACTCTCTCTGTTATGGCAGGTTGCCTCAGCAATGGCAGGCTGTGTCAGCAATGGCAGACTACCTCCGTAAGCATCAAGTGCCTCAGTAATGGCGGACACCCCTCCCCCACCAAGCTGCACCATCCTGGATTCAGCTGTGCTTGCTGTGAAACTCTCAACCCCAAATGTTTCCAATTGCTGTTTTGTTTGTTTTTGTGGGAGTGGGACCCACTGAGCCTGATCACCTGGCTCCCTGCCTCAGAGCCCTTTTTTTTTTTTTAAGTTGAACAGTTGACTCTCTCCCAGGTGTTCTAGTCGCCTGCTGAAAGGGCACCAGAATCTGTGTGATTTCCTGTGCAGTGACCCACTGCACCAGCTAGAACAATGTTGCTGCCCAGGAATCTTCTGGCCTGGCTTTCTGTTTAAGTCTTGTTTAATCAGATGAATGTGCTAATCTGCTTTCCGAAATCTCCAATTGCCAGTTTAACAGGGCAACTAAACCAGTGTATTTTGTACGGAGTGCTGCTGTGCTACGGCCCCAGCCCAAACAGCCATGCCGGCCCAAATAGCCGCACTGGTGGCCCGTGGGGCTCCTACACCTGGGAGTCTCCTGGGTTGTGGGCAATAAAGATCCGTCTGGAAAAGTGGCTTGCACTCACCCTCTGCACTTTCACTGGGAGCTGCAATCCTGAGTTGGTCCTACAGCCCCATCTTCTCCCCTCCTCAAAGAATTTACTATTTCTAAGTAATGCCTTTAGTTTCTGGACTAAACAAAAAGATCATCTAGTATTGAAGAAAAGAACCTATTTTATTATTTGATATTAAAATTAACATCAGCTTTAACTCAAACATAAGGATGTTCCAGGGCAACTTGATTCTTACTAATTATCTGACGGCCACTTCCTTCCTCCTGGGTCTGGGGGCTTGTTTACAGGGGAACTTCTGGATATGTGTGGCTTTCCTCCCCATTTCCTACCTGCCAATAAACACTGTGCCAGCTTTCAACCACCTAACCCCTGCAGCACACATAGAATTTTCTTGCCCAATGAATCGAGTGCACTGTTTGCTAGTTATACTGTTCTGAGAATAGTACAATTGATGTGTCCCAAAGTAAATCCCCTCCCTTTTATGTACCTTCTCTCTCAATGGCCCCATCCCTATCCAGCATCCTGGCGACCTCCATCACTGATATCCTGCTTAAACCCTACCCAGAAAAGGATGTGATTAACTATTTCGCATAACACCCAGAAATGCTCAAACAGGGTAGGGAGAAACCTGGAAAATTGAGATGCACAAAAAAAATACATTACAGTCCTTCTCTAAGACCTTTTCTCACTCCTTAAAAAGAAACCCCCAAAACTCAGGAGGTGAGGTAGGATCAGGGGAGGATTCCTTGTTACTTCTGCTTTTCTTGAAATTTTTCCACTGTGACATTCACATGTTTACTAAGATATAAATGGTCACCAAAGGTTACTATGTGATCTTTCCAGCAAAACAGAAAAAAAAAATCATGTCTAACTAATGTAAGTGCATCTCACAGACAGACAAATATTGCATGCACTCACTCATATGTGGGCACTGAAAAAGTTGACCTCATGGAGGTAGAGAGTAGAATGATGGTTACCAGAGGCTGGGAAGGGGTGGGTTTTGGTGGGTGTGGGGAAGTGGAGATGAGGAGAGGTTGGTAAATGGGTACAATCATATAGTTGGATAGAAGGAATAAATTTGAATGTTTGATAGTCAAGTAGGGTGACTAGAGTTCCCAACAACATATTATATATTTTAAAATAGCTACAAAAGAGGACTTGGAAATGTTTCCAACATGTACACAAATGGTAAATGTTCATGGTGATGGACACCCTAAATGCCCTGACTTGACCATTACACATTCTGTGCATGTAACAAAATATCACATGCAAGCCATAAATATGTACAAATATTATGTATCAATAAAAATAAAACAAGGAAAGCTCAAATTAGGGGAATTTTGGCAGCAGCCATTAGAGCAGGGGCTGTTTCTTCAGAGGCCAGAAGAGGCCTTTCCAAAATGAGCAACAGAACTGGGTGTGGCGGCTCATCCCTGTAATCCCAGCACTGTTGGAGGCCAAGGAGGGTGGATCAATTGAGGTCAGGAGTTAAGAGATCAGCCTGGCCAACACCTTGAAACCCCTTCTCTACTAAAAATAGAAAAAAATAGCTGGGTGTGCTGGCACTCTCCTGTAATCCCAGCTACTCTGGAGGCTGAGGCAGGAGAATCACTTGAACCCAGGAGGCGGAGGTGTTAGTGAGCTGAGATGGCGCTCACTTTTTTTTTTTTTTTTTTTCAAATTAATGGTTTTATTTCCATCTTTAACACTAGCAGAGGAGTCCAAAACAGATTGATATCCATGGATATAGTTTAAATGTAACAAAGAAAAAGCTGAACTATGTACACTGAAAAAAGGAGAGACATTTTCATACCAACCTTTTCCTGGTTTGCAGTTTCTCAATAGTAGAAACCAAACACATTAAAATTTTTTTTTACCAATTTAATTTAGGACGAAGTAACACAACTTTTATTATCAACCACTTGAGTTATCTTTAAGGATAAAACTTAAAGAAATTTAAAAATGGGTATTAACCATATTTTATTAGTGGACTGGCTCCAAGGTTGCCTTGCTCCAAGTCTGGGCATCACAACGTTGCCATGACACCCAGAAGAAAGTTAATGGCAATGATGTCCAGTCAGAGGGCAGACACGCTAAACATCAGCTGGAGTAAGCCTCGGGACTGTTCGCTCATCCCAGCCTGTGACAGCTGGGAGTGGATTACTTTGATTACTGCCCTGAGCTGGGCCGAGTCTCCTTGGAGTTGCACATTGAGCGGATAACTCTGAACACCGAGCAGAAAGCCTTCAAGGTGCTGCGGATCTGTGAGCAGCGGCAGATGACTGAACAAGTTCGCAGCATTTGTAAGATCTTAGCCATGAAAGCCGTCCGCAACAATCGCCTGGGTTCTGCCTTCTCTTGGAGCATCCGCGCTAAGGATGCCGCCTTTGCCACGCTTGTGTCAGACCGGTTCCTCAGGGATTACTGTGAGCGAGGCTGCTTTTCTGATTTGGATCTCATCGACAACCTGGGGCCAGCCATGATGCTCAGTGACCGACTGACATTCCTGGGAAAGTATCGCGAGTTCCACCGTGTGTATGGGGAGAAGCGTTTTGCCGATGAAGCTTCACTCCTTCTGTCCTTGATGACGTCTCAGATTGCCCCTCGGTCTTTCTGGATGACTCTGCTGACAGATGCCCTGCCCCTTTTGGAACAGAAACAGGTGATTTTCTCAGCAGAACAGACGTATGAGCTGATGCAGTGTCTGGAGGACTTGACTTCAGGAAGACCAGTGCATGGAGGACCCCACACCCAGCAGTGCCAGGATGATGACATAGAGACTACCAAGGTGGAAATGCTGAGGCTTGCTCTTGCACGAAATCTTGCTCGGGCAATTGTAAGAGAAGGCTCACTGGAAGGCTTCTGAGAGCTGCTTCAATGTGGTAACTTTGTATGACAATGTATATAATTTTTTAAAAAGAATAAATGTTCTTTTGCAAAAAAAAAAAAAAAAAAAATGAGCCTGGGTGACAGAGTGAGACCCTATCTCAAAAAATACCAAAAAAAAAAAAAAAAAAAAAAAAAAATGAGCATCGGGCTTTGCTGAAAGCCAGAGAGCTCTTTGCATACTCCTTTTGCATCCAACCCTTCACTTCAGTCATCAGAAGGATCTTTCTAGTGCAGAGTTACTGTTATTTTCCCACATATTTACTCATGAACAGATAATACATATACATGGCACAGAATTCAAAATACCCGACAGGTGATTGAATAAAATGTAAGCCTCCTTCCTTTTCCTTCTCCCTGGTTACACTGTTCCTGCAACCTCTATGATCAGTTTTTTTCTTTCCTTTCTTCTTTCCTTCCTTCCTTTTTTCCTTCTTTCCTCCCTTCCTTTCCTTCCCTCCCTCCCTCCCTCTCTTTCTCTTTCTTCTTTTTTCAGAGTCTTGTTCTGTCACCCAGGCTGGAATGCAATGGCACCATCTCAACTCACTGCAACTTCCACCTCCCAGGTTCAAACAATTCTTCTGCCTCAGCCTCCTGAGTAGCTGGGACTACAGGTGCATGCCACCATGCCTGGCTAACTTTTGTATTTTTAATAGAGATAGGGTTTCACCACATTGACCAAGCTGGTCTCAAACTCCTGACCTCATAATCCATCCACCTCGGCTTCCCAAAGTTCTGGGATTACAGGTGTGAGCCACTGATCAGTTTCTTAAATATCTTCCTTCCAGAGATATCTATGCATTTTCAAAAACAGAATCAGAGTTCTTTGAGAGTCTTTGATAGGCTTATTTGATTATTTTTTCAGAGATATCACATCCATGTAGTTCAAAAATTAGCCAGTTTAAGAGATAACCAGTGAAAAGCTATGCACCCAACCCTGTTCCTAGCCTTCTTCCTGGTTTCCACTCCATAACACCCCTTCCCCTACCCCATCAGTTAACTTTTGTTATGTTCTTGTGAATCAGTCCAGATTTTTTAGAAACACATGCAAACAAACACAATTCCTATCCCCTTTAAAGCAGTTCTTTAATTTGGAACTCTATACAGACAGAAAGAATTATTTGAATAAGCAACCTATGCATTAATGGAATTAACTCTGACTTTATGAAGCAGTCAACTTAAGCTCATATATATATTGCATATTTCTAATTTGTTTTACATATACATTAAAATACATAATATAAATATATATTATATATATGTGTGTATTACATATAAAACAAACTACAAATAATAGAAAAATATGACTGCCTGGGTTTCAGGATATTGTGATCCCCTTAAAAGGAACCCTCCTCAAAAGTACTTAAAAATTAATATTACCTGAGCCCGTACCAATCAGAATGGAAGAGCCCGACTAATCAGAATCTCTGTCAACGGTACATACAAGGGTACCTGGTGTACCACGCAGGTGGGTCCTGCTTCCATGAGGCCTGTTTGGCCCTGCAGCAGCCTGTGAGATTCTAAAAGCAAGATGACTCACCACCTACATCGGTCTGCAGTTTTGCGTGCCACATGCAAAGCTGGTATTCACAGAGCACCGTGGCTTCTGATGGGAGGAAGGAACTTCTGCTCAGAGGTCTATCGTTCGGAGGATCACCTTATTTAGGGGGTTCCCTGGTTTCCCCCTGGCTCCAGCATCCTGGATTCTATGTAATCATTGCATTTTCTCTCATGAACTGGCCCATATAACATGCTTTGTAGATTACTGCCAAGTTTACCTATTTGAGAGACCAACCAAGAGAAGAATGTCCCAATTGCAGGCTTGGAATCAACTGTGCCTCTAGGGCATTGGCTCCGGCTCTTTCTTCTTGAAAGACCTTACCTGGGCAGCCCTGAATTTTGAAGTCCTACCCATTGTCTAAAATCCAATTCAAGTGTTTCCTGAAAACAGCTCAGCTCTATCACTCAAATATATGTTTTCTTCTTCTTGGCTGTTTGTTGATATTTCTATCATACCATCACATTCTGTGGACAGTTGTATTCCAGCTATAATTATATTTGTTTTTCCCTAACAGAAGACTGCATATTTTGTGATCTTGGCTATTTATCTTTGTGGTCCCATGGCATGTAGCAAAGTGCCCAGCACACAGTAGGATCTCAACAAATCTTTTTTAAAATAGAATTTATTGTTTGGTTGAGTCCTCGTTCTTAGCATAACTGGATGGCATAGGTCATAAGAAGAGAGGGGAAGTGCAGAAACTGCTTACTTGATAAGTGGGGGTTGTTTCTTTTTTTTTTTTTAAGAAGCTTTCCATATGGACAGCATAGCAGGATGGTAAAGACCTCAGTCGTTTCTGGCCTTGACAGAACCCGGATTGGCACTGAAATTACTGTTATCTTGGGCAAGCTATTTGACTTCTCTAAACTTCAGTTTTCTCAACTTTAAAATAAGGATGAGAATAATAGTCCCTACCTTATGAACCAGTTAGCACACTGGCTAGCAGTAACATTCAATCATCATCATTTTTAATAGTTTTTATTAGGATCACTGTCTCTATCATCCATCTCTGTTACACGTGGCCAGAAAGCTTTGACAACAGCAGTTGAAAATAGGAGCTCTTTGAACCAAGACCCAAGCTGCTATTTGCTTGGAAGGAGGGAAATAAAAAAGCCAACAATGAAACCTCAGTAAGCCTTCATTTCCCACTGGGAAAGCTGGCTGAATACTTGTGAAAGTTTTGTTCAAGTCTATTCTTTGCTTCAAAAATAAGCATTCTCATTTCTAAGCTGACACCAATACTAGCAGCCGTGGGGCACATTTTTAAATTTGCTATTTGCTACAATACATAAGTGTTCTTACAATGTCATTTAAAAAAATCTGTCCAATTATCTCATTTTAGTTTCAATAACAGAATGATAGTTAAGCTTATTATCAAGGAAATATTATCAAGGAAAGTCTTCTAATATGAAGAAACTACAAGAAGGACTCAGATAGCAAAGGGACATAAAACATTTATAATTTCTAAAGCTAACTTTTTAGCTTTAGACTGCAAATACCATAAAACCTTGCAAAAGTTCAGGAAGCAGAGACTTAACAACTGGAAATTGCTTATCAGTTGTGCTGGAAATTTCCACTGCTTGTGTTGCTGTGGAAGGGGCTGTACAGGGGGAAGTACTGTCTCCATGTGGGTATGCGTGAGTGTGTGTGTGCGTGTGTGTGTGTGTGTGTGTGTGTGTGTGTTGCCTCTGCAGCAACCCTTTGCAATGCTGTGTCATGTTCTGTTTTCCTTCCAGCTTCCTGTCTTTCAGCATTTTCTGGAGTCACCAGAAGGTCTTTGCCTGGCTTGTTTTCTATATGATCAATGTTCTGTGGCACATGTCTCTACTGCTACTATCTGACCTATTAATACCTCCATTGCAGAGGCATTATTAAAACTTGTTAATAAAATAATGTGGAGAAAAGCATAATAAGATCTATATTGACTTGTATCAACAAAGGAAATATTAATCCAAGTCAGTTGACGGTTTATAAAGAATGATAGTTCAAACCCTTAGGAACCCAGGATACCACTTGAACCAAAGCCCTTTTTAAAATTACAGATGATGAATTTGAAGCACAGAAAAAAAGAAGCAATGTTCCCAAGGTCAGAGAGCTAATTAGAAAGTCTGGCTTTAGGACTAAAGATGTATGGTCAACCACATAAACAATAGAGTGGTAACCTACTAGAGTCATGGCCTGCAAATTAAGAAACAGCATGGTTCTTTTCCTTAGGGAGTCATGTTTGAGAAACAAAAATATCAATATGGCATGTTTAAATTCCATTTGAGAAGCAGCACCAGTAAAACAAACATTACAGAACTTAAATTCCAATAAAAGTGGACAAAAAGAATAGACGTGCCTCCCTAAGTATCTACCTCTTCACTAGGAGCCGGCAGACCAAGGGGAAGACTACACCTAAATCACAGGTGGCTATAGGTATGATCAAGAATAGGAAAATGGCACATCCTAGAACTGTAAGGGGCCGGTTTGTCTAGGGCTATGATGAGGGCAATCTAGGGGAGAGCTGTGCAGTAGAAGTTTAGCTAAAGTGAAAAGAATGGGAAAGAGTCAGGAAGGTGCCTGCCTGACCTGCTGGGGCTGCGGTCGTGGTCTTTGGGGAATTGACTGAAGTGTCAGGAAATGTTCTGCTTTCTTCTCTGGACAATTACTACATGAAACAACTTCTGGAGCTTTTCACGTTGCTCTGGGAAGATACTTTCCTGCCTTGGTTGGAGGTGAGGCCACAGGCTTTCCTGGTCGGGGGTGCCTCCCAGGGGCCAATCTCACAAGGGTACAGCGAGGGTCCTCGCTGGAAGCACATTCACAATCATTCTTCCAGGTTGAGGGGCATGTAGCAGTCAGCAGGCTGGCTCTGTACAGGGATGGCCCCCTGGGTGATGCAGGTTCCCTCTGCCATCAGCTTTCAAGCTTTCCTCCAAATCAAGTCAGAATTATCACTCCTGTGGCCGGAAATGGCTGTGGTCTGTAATTGTAAGTGGATCTGCATATTAACCTTTTCAAAGCCTTCCCAGACCTCCCCTCACCACCGAAGGAAAAGAATATTCACCCACCAGCAGCAACAGCAACAGCACCTCCCAGGCACCTGAAATTCTCCCCCATGATGAAGTCATTTCCTGGGATTAAGTTTATCTTACATTTCCAGAGGGAAAAACTGAAGCTCAGCAAGGGTAGGCAATTCATTGAGAGAATCGGCATTTGGATCTGGATTTTCAACATGGATGCCAGTGTTTTCTTTTGTTTTGTTTTGTTTTTTCTACTCATCAGCACAGCTTCTATCGCTTCAGTGTGAAATAATTTATCAGGCCAGCTCTTGTGCATAAGGAGAGGCAAGAAGGGGAAGAGTGTCGATGGGAGGGGCAGGAACACTTAAAGGCACAGGAGAGGCATCATTCAGCCTCAGCTACAGCCAGCCAGAGCAAAATTAAAAATTCATTTATGTTTGCCTCCTGCTATTCTGTTTTTCTCTGGAGGGATTGGGTTATAGCACCCTCAGGAATATTTT